GGGGAGGAGTACAGATTTTTAAGCTCATCATTACGCAGTTTTCTCCATGCCCCATTGTCTTCTCTCCTAGGCCCAAATATCCTCCTCAACACCCTGTTCTCAAACACCTGCAATCTGTGTTCTTCCCTCTGAGTGAGAGACCATGTTTCGCACCCATACAAAACAACAGGCAAGATTATTGTTTTGTATACTTTCATTTTCAGGTTCTTAGAAATCAGACGGGAAGACACAATATTTTGGACTGAGAAGTAGCAAGCATTTCCGGCATTTAGTCTCCTCCTAACTTCCTCACAAGTATCATTTTGATTTGTTATTGTTGTTCCCAAATATTTGAACTTTGTAACCCTTTCAAAGGATTTATTAGCTACCCTAAGATAATTTTGCCCGCCTGTCTTCTGATGACGAGATACTAACATGTACTTAGTTTTTTCTGAATTTACTTCCAGCCCCACTTGTCTACCAGCCTCTAGTAAAACTTCTGCGTTCCTCTTTATTGTATTTATATCGTCTCCCAATAAATTAACATCATCAGCAAATGCCAATAGCTGATGTGTCCCGTTCAACTCCAAACCCTCCTGCCTATCTTGGACTTTCCTGATATGCAGGAATAGGAGATTTAAAGTCCATATTATGTTGCTGTTGGCCTGACTTTATGTCGAGGGTCAGTGGTTTAGCAGTGTGCTAGTGCAGCGTACAGCCTGCTGAATCAGTAAAGACTGATAAGCAGAATTATGGAATTCTTAGATTGTACATATCTTACATGGAACATAATAAATTATAATTAAGAAAAGTAGGTAATCAGTTTAGTGTGTTAATATTTTCATAATTTTTTTTTTTTTAAATGAAAGCAAAAGCAGCCCAGTGTTACATGAATGGAATGAAAATATTTTATAATCTTTTAATCATTGTGACTTTGAAAGGCATTGTATAAATTTATCTTGTGGAAGAAGTCACTATAGAGAATTATCTGCAAGAATTTTTGAAACTTAGTTAAGAAAGTTAATTTAAATACATTAGCCTCCTGCTTTTCAGGGTTAGTTGGGAAATATATTTTCTCAGGTAATCAGAACTCTGGACTAACTAACAGCAGAAGGGGTTTTATATAAAATTTAATATAGTACATATCAACCACTTTTTAAAAAAGGATTCCCAATGGATAGTACATAATAATGTTCTATTTTCACAAACTTCAGGTTTTAACAGCAATTTATTTATGTTAACAATTGAAATAACAAGTTATTGTGTATTTATTCCTTTACTTTTAAAATGTTGTAACTTTTACAACAGATTTTATAAATCAGTTTTTAATTTCTGTTTAAACCAGATTTACCCCTGGATAATCAGGGGTCTACTGTAAAGCATGCTGATTTTAAAGAGTAAACTTTAATTTGCGTCATACTGAATGTGTTCAGTAATATGTGTGTGGAAAAATTTAATACTTTCAGGTTTAACCAGCAAAACAAAGAGGTTAGGTTTGGAAGTTATGTTTTTGGCCCAGTAATTATGAGAATGTACTACTTCCTGAATAAACCTGATGAAGCCCTTAAGGTAAGTCCTGGACAAGTATCAAGTAGGCACAGAGCATTTTCATTTTATTCCAGCTACAGTTCTCATTTCTGATTCTACACTCAATTTTTCATGCAAGCACAGACTGAGATGGAAGAGTCACATGCCCCACCCAACTCTCAGTCCATCAAGTTGGGTTCACACATAATGCATAAATTTGCTTCACAGCTGCAATGTTCACTCTGTCAGTTTAGCCTCAGTTTTCAGTTTTATACGTTTTTTTTATATGTATTGTCATGCAAGTGAACAAGAAGTGGGCTTCAAAATTTTTGGATACCTTTCATTATCTTTGGTATAATAACATTTGACAAAGAATATACCATATTCTGTTTCATAATTCTCACGCAGGTTTGCTAAAAGTTGGATTCATACCAACATGAATTGATTTTCTGGAATTGGGTAGTGACATTTTTTCCACTCTCGATGGGATAGCTGCAGCACTTACCCTTCTTAAAACAAGAAAGTTTTTGAGAAATGAGCTTACTGTATTGTGCTGAGATTAGAATTAATGTAGGAGGGGCTTTACATTGTGAATCATTTGTCTTTCTGTGTGTTCATCGTTCGCCGTAGTGAATCACTTTTTTAATGAAGTTACCATTGTGGTAAGTAATCAGATGGCATCATCTGTGCAGTCAATCTAACAAAATCTTATTGATGAAGGAATGATTATGCAGTCATTACTGTTCATCAGTATTTGGGATCAACGATTCACCTTCATTAATATTATGAAACAGTGGATTTTAATTTTTGTAGCTTTAACTCGCCAGTCTTTATTTTGTGACTTACTGAGCTGTTAAATATTAACATCTAAGATACAAAGGTAAGGATACATTTAACCCTGTTTTAAAAATTCTTTTTGTATGTCATTTAAGCAAAATTACAAAAATTACCACATACAGGTAACAAGAAAAGTAAATTAATCCAGATTTAATAAATATGTTAAAGGCAAAATCCTAACATAACATAGACAGAATTACAGACTTAAAGCTCTCAGCAATAATGATTTTAAGTATGCATTTGAAAATGAAGTCAATGCTTCAAGGACTCACAAGAATCATCCACAAGATTTGTAAAAAAAACAATTCCTAATAAATACGTATTTGGAAGGAAAAAAATTGTTCTGGTTTTTCATTTGTGCCCATGTTGAGACCTGCACTAAGAAATGATTTGCATTCTGTTGTGGTTACATCACTGCAAGTTACTAAGATACTTACTCGCTGCGGCATATGCTTTTGAATTTTTCCTTTTACATAATGATTTGTTTTGTTAAGAATTTTGTGGTAGCAAATACTTTGAAAAAACACGATAAAGAATTCTAGTATGGAAGAAGGCTTCAGACTATTTAGAAGGATGTGTGGTTTGTTTTGAAACGTGGATCAGAATTGCCGTACACCTACCAGCTTTTTCGATGCAATTTGCATTGATACTGGAAGTCACTTTATTATCATCAGAATAGGTATATGACGTAAAGCTCCACACATTAACATTGGCATTAAATCAGTGCTCTGGCACACCATAAAAATTTTTCTCACAAAAAGGGGCTACGATGATGAACGTGTGTGCATGCACACGTGTATTGTGAATTTTAATTGTGAAAGATAAATATTCCCTTTTTCTAACTATAATGTGTAAATACAGAATTTCTTATCAAAATCTGCGGCACACCTGAAAACTTGTATCATCATGCCAGTGTGTTGCGGAACACTGATTTAGACAAAGTGGCGTGCTGCAGCACACCGGCTACAGAACACTGCACTAGGCAGTGGTAATTGATGTGCGCCTCACTGTGCCCACATCATCTGTTGTGCAGAGGGTCCATTGTGCCTATTGGATAAGATGATAAATCTGGATGTGGCGAAGAGAAAAAATCCTTGCTTCTGCCAGGATTTGAACTCTTTTTGCCCAATCCATAACCACTCACATTACTGACTGAGCAATCGTAGTTCTGAATATGATTCCCTGAAACTAAGGGTTTTAGGAATTTTATGTTTAAGGAAAATAAATAAATTAGAGATAAAATTGATTGCACAATCCTGTAATGAATATTAAAGATAAGTTGAAGATGGCTGTCTTTTGAGTTGTTGCACCATAATCAGGGCTATGAGTACTCATCGCCCTGATGATGGAGGCAGTAGAGATCTCTGAAACGTCAGTAAACTTCTACCAGACTGCGTGGCACAACAGCCCAGAAGACTGCCGTCTTCATATTCACTGCTGTGTGAATTTGAAGTCTCATTAAAGGTAAGTTATTGGTTGGTATTTGAACTATATTTTTGACTCTTCTAATATTTATCTCTTTCAGGTATTTAAAGACCCTGCACTGGAAGGCTTCTTTGCCCAACTAAGTACCTACCAAATCCTTATGGACCTTTTGTTTGAAAATGAAAGATATCAGGACATTTTAGATGTTTTTGAAATTATAAAAGGAAGACAACATCAGGAAGCAAAGTATCCGAAGAATGTTGTGATTCTAACATTTGCAGCGTGTTTCAAGCTGGTGAGTACATTCTCGAGTATCGTCATAATTATCTTATGCTGTTGCTGTTTTCACAGAGGTTTCTGCAGCAAAACCTTGTGTTTGTTTTTGCATCACAGCTATTTATACAACTGACAACATCATTCATATAAGTAATGGAATGTTGCAAAATGTAATTTTATTTCCCACTTATTTTATCTCTCTTGTGTCCATGTATCTTTCTTAACATTACATCTTCTACTTCCCGCCCTCTCCACAGTAATGGACCAGAAGTTATTTGTAAAATTATTTTATATATTAGTTTTGTAATTCTTAGGTGTTTTAGAAACTATGGAGAAGGTGATAGAGTATCAGCGGAATCTCAGCCAGAATTTGTGCGGTCTCTCTATTTCATCACTTGATTTATTGTTGCTTATTATTGCTTGGAATTAAAATTGTTGCACATTTTACAATCTATATTAGTTGTTGTTATATCGTATCATTGTTGTGGGTTTTGATTTTGCATGTCCAAATTTTTATGGAGAAGGCTTTTTCATAAAGTATCAATGATGGATTTAATGTTGTCGACTGGTGATGCCAGTTCGAGATTATGTAACACTGCGCTCGAAATATTGTACTTGGGTATCAGCTATACAGTTCTTGGAAACACCACTGGAAATCATATTCCAGAATGCACTTCGGAGCTGCTGTTGTCATGTCTTTTACCTTATCTATGCCAGTGGTATTCAACCTGTTTCGTTCGCGTACCCCCAGATATAATTTCTCTTTAACTTTGTACTCCCAAAGTTGTTGCTGTATAATTCAAGTCTAGGCAACACGGAGTTTTCCTCCGGGGGCTTCCCCGGTTTCTCTGTGGCATCCATTCACACACAGAAGAAGGCAATGGCAAACCACTTCTGGATCATCTGCCAAGAACGTATATGAACAGGTCCCAGTCCGAGAAAAGGATCGAAGGATCCTGTTCATATGGACCTGTCGTCAGACAGAACACTAAATAATAATAATAACCCCCTAAGATGTCTTCACATACCCCCAGGGCTACACATACCCCAGGTTGAATACCACTGATCTATGCTACTGAAATTCTATACCTTCAGCTGAGATTTCCCAAGAATAAATGAAAGTATGGCAGCAGCCGGTCGAGTAAGTGTAGAGTGTTTGGCAATGCTGACACCTTGGTATGTAGCTGGTAGCTTCAATGCTACATCTCAGCTGTTGACTAGGAAAATGTGTGACATACAGAAGAATTCATCACATTGTACTTCAGTACCATTTGTTGGTTAAACATGTTGAGTGTTGTCATTTTTGGTTCTGAAGATGAAGACATTATTAACCTGCAGGTCCACACAGTGTCAAAATCCAGAACAACAAACATCTTCACTGATGAGAACTCAAATGATTAATGATTAATTTGTAATGGATTAAGAAGGATATGGAAGGAAGTAGGTTTTGCCAAATTTAAAGTACTGTGCCAACATTTGCCTGGAGGGAATGAGAAACGTCAAAAAAAGAAAAATGCCAGTCAAGGCAACTGGTCTCTGGTCCAAATTTTAATACACGCACCATATGACTGTGTGGTCTTCCTGGATTTGTTTTCTTTCATTTCCTATGTGTTTTGTTTCTCTATTTCGCTTATCCGTTTCTTTTAAAGCGACCAGATTTTTATGTTCAAAATTGCAATTCTTATATTATCCTACAAATCTGACCTTCTTTCTAAAGTTTTTCATCATTTTCAAAGTATCATCATAATCATCCATTACCCCCTCCCAACATGGACATTGGGGTCAAACTTTTTATAGTGTGTCTGTTTACTGCATATTAAATATACAGTGTTAACTGTTAGTGGTTCTGGCCACAGTGGTTTTTACGAAAGCTGTTTATCATGTAGTGTGACTGTTCATTTGGGAGCATATAATATTTTAATACAGTGGAGTACCCTCGATCAAATGCTGGCAGTCGGCCGTGATGACGATGCTGGCGTACTAATCCAGTAATCAAATGGCAGCTGCAAGAAGATGAATTTTAGTGTTTGTATAACATCAGACAATGGCCAAGGTCAAAAACCCAGCAGTCTAGATTCTGTTACATCGTCAGACCCTTCAAAATGAAATTGAATGTATCTAGTTTGGGCCCCATTTGTTTTCTTAGCACTGGATTTAAGTGAAATATTGTGATAAGTGAAACAAGGTTTGGTAGTTGGTTCACGCCTGTATACTGTCACTGGGCAGTCCCAAGAGTGTTGCAATATTCACATCTACATCGCAGTGGCCTCTGATCAAATCCTGTCATGCGAAAGCGCATTCTTCAGGCCAGATTAAAGTTTATGCTTACTGTTGAAGAAGCATAAATCACAATCACAAGTTGAGTGTGGGTCGTATGTATATGTAATAGGTAAGGCAGGTAATGTGATGTAACAAACATTGTATAAGCATAAAGGAGTAATACATTGTTTACAGGGTCATGCTGATAGGTCTGAAATAACTGATTGTATATTGTATGCTTAAAGTTATTCACTATCTGGACTTTTCCATCGTCCTTGTTTAAAAGAAGAAACCACGACGTTTCGGAAACTGTTTCCGTCTTCAGGCAAGAGGCACCTACTCAGTTGTGTCCGTCAGATAGCGATGGAGACTAGATCTATCTGACGGACGATGGAAAAAGTCCACACAGTGAATAATTGTAAGTGCAGTCCACCATTGTCAGAACCCTTTAGATTTGAATTATATTGTATGGTTTGACAGTTTTGCTTTTCTAATGTTCACTTCCAGAATACTGAAGAGAGTTTTAAATTTGGATTGGATCTGTGGAAAGAACTTAAGGAAGTTGGCCATATTCCTATGAGAAGGGCTGTGACGTTTGCTGCAGGTATGGCATTAAACCAGAATGCACCACACATAGCTTTCGAAATGATATCCGATGTGCAGCAACATAATTATGTCACTATCAGAAATCTGAAAGTAAGTGCAGCAGTAACATTTATGTACTTTACTTCCCCCATCAGTATAACTCTAAACTGTATTTAAAGTCTTAACATCAACAATCCAAAAAGAATTTGAAAACATAAAGAAAATTGTCCGTCCTTATGATTTATTCATTCAGTGAGTCAGTTTTAATGGCACTGGTTATTTCAATTCAATTCTTTATTATTAGTTTGCTGTATCAACATATCAACATAACAAAGTAACTGAAGATTTCCGTTTTCTGGGTTCTTGCGCTGTGTAGTCTGGTCGATGTTTACCAACGTTTCAGAGGTCATACTGCCTCTGTCATCAGGGCGATGAGTATGAAGATTTCCGTCTTCTGGGTCGTTGCGCTGTGTAGTCTGGTCGATGTTAACCAACGTTTCAGAGGTCATACTGCCTCCGTTATCAGAGTATGAAGATTTCTGTCTTCTGGGTTGTTGCGCTGTGTAGTCTGGTCGATGTTTACCAACGTTTCAGAGGTCATACTGCCTCCATCATCAGGGCAATGAAGACGGAAATCTTCATACTCACCGCTGTGAAAACCTCAAATCCTACAACAAAGTAACTGCTTTACCACCATTACTCACTTTCCATAACTTCATTTGTGATAATGAAGATGAGACTTTTATTTATGTTTCACTACCGGATGCAGTTGAAAATTTTGAAGGTTCTAAAGGAACTTGGTTTTCGGTTCCATCTTCTAAATCCTCTTAGCACACTGTGTGTCTGTCCCACCTGTGTGTTTTGTGATACAAGTACAGACGTTAGTATTACCTAAAGTGTGTAAAAACACTTCTATTAAAAAAAAACTTTCTTGTCTTGGTACTTATTGAAAACACCAGGATGGAAGTTTGTGATATCAAAATACCCCTTAACATGTGTGATTTGAGGTTTTCACGGTGGTGAGTATGAAGATTTCTGTCTTCTGGGTTATTGCGTCATGTAGTATGGTAGATGTATGAATGATTTGTCACCCTGATGACGGAGGCAGTATGACCTCTGAAACGGTAAACATCGACCAGACTACACGGCGCAACAACCCAGAAGACAGAAATCTTCATACTCATCGCCCTGATGACGGAGGCAGTATGACCTCTGAAACGGTAAACATCGACCAGACTACACGGCGCAACAACGCAGAAGACGGAAATCTTCACCCCTTAACATCATTGATCTTTCGAAGTTTAATGAATATGTAAGACTTGAGGTTCTCACAGCGGTGAATATGAAGATTTCTGTCTTCTGGGTTATTGCGCTGTGTAGTCTGGGCGATGTTAACCAACGTTTCAGAGGTCATACTGCCTCTGTCATCAGGGTGACAAATCATTCATACATCTACCATACTACATGACGCAATAACCCAGAAGACAGAAATCTTTAATGAATATATTGACAGTATCAACTTTCTTAGTTGCTAAGTGGACTTGTGGGTTGATAGCAACATTTCCAAGAAAGATACTGCCTCCATATTCAAGGCTGAAGTCAACAATTATTTCATCAGTTACTGTCATCAAGTCTTGTATTTTTGCAATGCTGTTATTTTTTATATTCCTAAAACAGTATATTTATGAGATCATTTAAAATTTAAATACCTAGAACAATTTGAGCTGACAGCATCACATGCTAGTGTTTTGAATCATATATTCAGAGGGATACAGTATTCCTTATTCCTATGACCACAATTATCACCACCCACCTGTCATGTTTTTCGTGTTCTTCACATTGGAGTGTAAGCAACGAACACCTCATGTGCCAACCTATGTCATTCATTCGTGTTCTTAATATGGGAGTAGGCAACCAGCATGACTGGGGGCATTGTTACGTAATATTGGGAAGAGAGATCGTTGCTTTACCCCTAGGTTTACTTTCTTTGCAAACAGGCGGAGGCTTATGATATCACCATGTCCATATTTTGCATCCTAATGGTTTGAGGTCATGTGATAGATTTTCATGAAACTCAATTTGAAAATGTTCTCCATCTTTATACTTCAAAATATCCTGTCATCAGTAAGTCCAAACATTTGAGATGGAAGCAACACTACTACTAGAAATTTTGAGTAGTAATAGATCTTGAAAATGTGCGTATTTTGTTAAAGCTTAATTTTTGTAGGTCATAAAGTTTTTCTAGCCTCAGTATGTACTAACTAAAAAAGGAAAGTTATTTTTAGTGTCACGTACTTTTAAGTTTTAAGTGTATATTATGTTATGTTAGATGCAATTCTTCAGTATGATCCTCCCACCTAATTTCCCGTAGCCATTGGCTCCTACCAACTATAAGTTTGTACAATTTTAAGTTGGCAGAGACTGCTAAGAATATACGTAGGGCAGTCAAAAAGTTCCCAGAATTGTGGTATAGCACGGTAATGGTAGGACATATAGCAACGCTTACCTAATCGTCATATTCGACGCCTCGCTGGTTGTGCAGCAATTCCTCGCAAGAAAAACATTCCCGTCATCACCCAACCACCAGACTCTCCGGATCTCGCTCCGAGTGACTTCTGGCTGTTCCCTACTCTGAAAATGGGCCTCAAGGGGACGCGTTTCGCAACCATGGAGGACATCAAATCGAATGCGACGGCCGAACTCCGGAAGATTCCAAACGAAGCCTTCCGCCGGTGCTTCCAACAATGGCAGGATCGATGGAGCAAGTGTGTGTGCGCGCAAGGGTCCTACTTTGAAGGTGATTAGGTAAGTGTTGCCATATGTCCTACCATTACAGTGCTATACCACAATTCCGGGAACTTTTTGAATGCACCTCGTAATACAGCACTCGTGTACATTCACACAAGATGGAGAGGAGTTGTCAGTCATCTTCTAGTGGGAAGCCGGCTGATTTTGTGATGTAGAGTTGGTGAAGGAAATAATACGTAGCAATACAGTCCACGGTCAGATCAGTGTTACGGACTGAGTTGTTGTTGTTGTTTCAGGCAGCAGCTTTAGCTGATATAGGACGACCTGAAGATGCTCTTCCTATCCTTCGAAGCATTCTTGATGCTGATGTTCCATCTCAGCGGAAACAAACATTCAGTGAAGATGTGGTAAAGGATCCTCTATATAAGTGTGTGTGTGTGTGTGTGTCTCTCCCCCCCCCCCCCCCCCCCCAATTTAGTTGTAACCAGTGGCGGATTTGTTACTCGAAGGGTCTAGAAAAATGCAATACTGTCTGTGTCGGTTTTTATGCAAAAACGTATTTTCATGAAGATTTGTGTCTTGTGGGTTGTTACGCAGTGTAGTCTGGTAGAAGTTTACCAACGTTTCAGAGGACCTTGCTGCTTCCATCATCAGGGCGATGAGTGAGCAGTGCTCACTCATCTGCCAGACTGCATGGCGCAACAACCCAGAAGGCAGCCGTCTTCAGACTCACCGCAACAGAAACCTCAAATCCTACATATCATAACACACTAATGACAAAACATGTTTATCACAGAAGATACTGTTCAAAACCAAGAATTCAACCAGAATAATATATTGATCGTGTCCTTGGACGCAACACCATGTAGTCTTTGAGGTGCTTCCCAGCGTTTAGAAGGAATCTACTGCCTACTTTCAATCTGATGTGGAAATGGGGTTGCTATTTGGACATAACCCTGATAAGGTAGGCATCACTCAGAAAAACAAGAATGCGTGAACTGCAGCAGAAGACACGTAGCTATTACTAACAAGATGCAGACACAACAAACAAGGCTCTGACACACACACAGGAGGCCCATGAGTTACAAATGCAGAATGTGTGGTGTAGCCAGATTTATGTATGACGCAGAGTCCATGAGGATAAAGAAAACGAATTCTGAAATGTAGGTTACTTTAATCTAAAGTGATAAACACAGTCTGTGAAGAATTTCCCAAAAAATGCTTTCATAATAACAAATTCTCACCTGTCCATATGCCAAAACAGTTGCATTGTAACCTTCGAGAGATCCGTTCACAAGAGCTTCTACACAGGTTGTGTACACATCCTCTTGCTGGACATTCGTGTCAAAGACATAATCATATGTGAAGGCCTTGTCTGAGCCCAGCGTCACCTGGGGTTTGCCTGGCGTAACACTGGTACAAATCCGACACATGTCGATGAGTTCCCGTGCTATCTGCGGTCTGATCCTGTAACAATGAACAGATGAATTTCGTTTCAACTACTGAAGTTCCGAAATTTAAAATAATGAGGATATGACACATAATATTATTTCTGGTACTTGTGGGTTATTGGGACACATCGCTTTAAAAATAGGTTAGGTTAGTTGTAATTTATTTAAATAAAATATAATAACTTTCAAGTATGTGTCATTTATCCACACACATTAACCTAACCTAACCTAACCTACTTTTAAAGTGATGTGTGCTGATAACTCACAAGTACCTTATTTTTGAACACAGTTGCTTAAAGGAGTAGAAAAGAAAATTATGGAGGAGGTAAGATTTAAAGTCTGAAAAAAAACTTTGTTGTTCTCCAATCGGTTTAGAAAAATGAATAACATACATTCACCATTTCAATTTATAGGCTGTATAAAATCAGAGAGGTTGTGTAAGTTGTGTATGTAATTCTGAGAAACATTCTGGTTTCAAAACCAGGAAAGCACCCTGATGAAGGATTTATCAGACTTCTAATTGTTTTATCCAAAACTATTACTGCACACAACTAAATGTGGGAAAATCCGACAAATACTTCCATTTCTTATCAGTCCATTGCCCCAAGGCTTATCATATGCCTGATCATGCATTACACATTACTCATTACCACACGAAAGCTTTATTCCCTGGAATTGTAGTAGGAATAGTTCCTTCTGCTGTGGAGGGGCAGACAGAGAAAACGTATTATGGCCGTGTTTAAGGTCAATGATCATGAATGAAACGCATTTCAGAAAGTCATTTTATTCCTGTAAAATTCTATTACCATTACGCAATTTCCCTTGCAGTTTGTTGTTTAGTACATTCAAATGTTTGAAAGTATGTGTTCTTTAGGCCAGATTACGTGTCAGGTTCGGTTTTCAAAGTGACTGAAAGATTATCCTTTTTCAATAAGGAGAACTTTAATCTCCTTGAATGGTGCTAAAAATCATTGCAGAACTTTATTCTGAGGAATGGCTTGAACTGTCAGTGGTTTTCCGCACATAAGCAATTGAAACTAATTACTTACATCTTTCCTAATTCATTCTAATTTAAGATTTTTTCTAATTACGTTTTTGTAATGAATGATTCAGTTATGGACACATACCCTTTTCTTCTGTTTTTAATGAAGAGATGCTGTTTTTGGAGCAGATCACAGAAGGTATGCTACCTGTAACTTTGGAAATGACTTAACCTAAATTTGGATAATGCCATTTCTTCGTCGCTAGAATTCTGGAATTAGATAGTGGCATTTCTTCTAAAGCAGATCTAACTCTTGTACCACTAAGACTGTATCAAAGCACATTGGAGGGTGTACCATATTAAGTTGAAGTTGGCATTCTACCCCTTACGCACCACGTCTGGATGAAATGCTACAAAAGTTTCTTGATAAGTCTGTTGCCAGAACTTTCTTCTTAATTATGTATACACCATCTGAGAGTGGTATGAACAGAGTTCTGTAATGATTTGAAATGTTCTGAGTGATGTATTTACAGATCCAGAAGTTAAAGGATGCGATAAATAAGAATGGAAGCAAGGACGCTGTATACGAGTTTAATCAGGTAGAAAAACGGCTAAGTGAAGGAGGACACATCACAAAAGAGGTAATTTCACAGTAATAGTGCATGTGAATGGAGAAGTGCTTGCACATTAACAAGTGATTTTTCTCTGGCTGACACTGCCATTATGGATTGGTTTCCTGTTGTCTTTTATATCTGTTCTTTCCAAATCCTGAATTCGTAAGTACTCGGGGAATGGCCTGCAGCAAACAATTTGATGTGAAAGTATAAATATTGGTAAATTTCTGTCTTCTGGGTTGTTGCGCTGTGTAGTCTGGTCGATGTTTACCAACGTTTCAGAGGTCATACTGCCTCTGTCATCAGGGCGATGAAGATCTCTGTCTTCTGGGTTGTTGCGCTGTGTAGTCTGGTCGATGTTTACCAACGTTTCAGAGGTCATACTGCCTCTGTCATCAGGGCGATGAAGATCTCTGTCTTCTGGGTTGTTGCGCTGTGTAGTCTGGTCGATGTTTACCAACGTTTCAGAGGTCATACTGCCTCTGTCATCAGGGCGATGAAGATCTCTGTCTTCTGGGTTGTTGCGCTGTGTAGTCTGGTCGATGTTTACCAACGTTTCAGAGGTCATACTGCCTCTGTCATCAGGGCGATGAAGATCTCTGTCTTCTGGGTTGTTGCGCTGTGTAGTCTGGTCGATGTTTACCAACGTTTCAGAGGTCATACTGCCTCTGTCATCAGGGCGATGAAGATCTCTGTCTTCTGGGTTGTTGCGCTGTGTAGTCTGGTCGATGTTTACCAACGTTTCAGAGGTCATACTGCCTCTGTCATCAGGGCGATGAAGATCTCTGTCTTCTGGGTTGTTGCGCTGTGTAGTCTGGTCGATGTTTACCAACGTTTCAGAGGTCATACTGCCTCTGTCATCAGGGCGATGAAGATCTCTGTCTTCTGGGTTGTTGCGCTGTGTAGTCTGGTCGATGTTTACCAACGTTTCAGAGGTCATACTGCCTCTGTCATCAGGGCGATGAAGATCTCTGTCTTCTGGGTTGTTGCGCTGTGTAGTCTGGTCGATGTTTACCAACGTTTCAGAGGTCATACTGCCTCTGTCATCAGGGCGATGAAGATCTCTGTCTTCTGGGTTGTTGCGCTGTGTAGTCTGGTCGATGTTTACCAACGTTTCAGAGGTCATACTGCCTCTGTCATCAGGGCGATGAAGATCTCTGTCTTCTGGGTTGTTGCGCTGTGTAGTCTGGTCGATGTTTACCAACGTTTCAGAGGTCATACTGCCTCTGTCATCAGGGCGATGAAGATCTCTGTCTTCTGGGTTGTTGCGCTGTGTAGTCTGGTCGATGTTTACCAACGTTTCAGAGGTCATACTGCCTCTGTCATCAGGGCGATGAAGATCTCTGTCTTCTGGGTTGTTGCGCTGTGTAGTCTGGTCGATGTTTACCAACGTTTCAGAGGTCATACTGCCTCTGTCATCAGGGCGATGAAGATCTCTGTCTTCTGGGTTGTTGCGCTGTGTAGTCTGGTCGATGTTTACCAACGTTTCAGAGGTCATACTGCCTCTGTCATCAGGGCGATGAAGATCTCTGTCTTCTGGGTTGTTGCGCTGTGTAGTCTGGTCGATGTTTACCAACGTTTCAGAGGTCATACTGCCTCCATCATCAGGGCGATAAAGATTTCTGTCGTGAAAACCTCAAGTCTTACATATCAGTATTGGTTTTGTATTAGTTTAATCTAATTCCAGAGAACATTATACCCCTAAACCCCATACGTATGAATGCAACTCAGGAAATAATATTTTAAGGGGTTCTTATTTTGTGTTATGCCTTTGTTTTGAGTGGTCTGCATATATTTTCTGTCATATTACATGTCCCTTCTTGATGAAAAATTGTTAACATCTAAGTTAAATATTTTTATTTGCTTCAATTGAAGAATTAATGAAAATAACAAATCCACAACTTTGTTAAAGAAAATAACTGATTAATATATGAACTTCTTTGCCTAGCATTTTAATTAATTTTTTTTATTGAAGTTTCAGTTAACTCATTATAATTTGGTGAGACAGGAGTTAGAGAAGTGTGGCTGTTGGCCTTGAAAAGTTGACATTTCTTAAAATGAACAGATATTTAACTCGATTTGTCCATTGCCTACTTTGTAATTTATTTCTATACAGTGCAGCAGGGTGCTTTTTTGTGTGTTAATGCTCGATAGTGGTTACCTGAAATAGCATAATTTCACAGTTTTCATAAGTGTGATCATGAAACTATTATTTTTCTAGACGTCAGGTAAATGTTAGCTTTCAAATGAGTGCTTGTATATACCTGAGCATCCATAATTTTGGCATTACAAACTGTAGGAAATTTAAATTGTGAATGTGGAGCAGCTTCCAGTGACACGTCATTACGTTTCATGAGAATTTGTTTAGCCATTCACAACTTATATTCATGTAGATGAATGGGCAGAGTGATTTTTGTCGGTACTCCGCAGGGATGCAGGCGCATCTAAAAGTGAGTGAGCCAAGTCCTTCCTGAGAAGCTGACAGTTGTGAAAAACTCAAATCTCACATCTGTAACTGTTTTTTTAAAAAAAGATTTTAAGTTTTTTATATTTAATGCAATATAAAAAAGACATACATAGTGTGCTGCCGACATCAGGTCTGTATCTTCGATAAATGGATATTAAGAGTTACGAACATCGCAGATGTCAGTGATGATGAGTCTGAATTCCGTTCCTTTAATGTTCTGTTCACAGACCTTGAATGAGCAGTTGTGTGTGCAGATTGCAGAAACAGTCAGAAATCAATCCCAAGACAGGAATCAGAGATTTCTGGCAGCTAGCTTCGGTAGACAAGATCTTGGTCGTGCAAGGACGTACGCGCGCCCAGGTTTAAAAGATCTGTATTGACTTGACCATCACTCCGTGGTTATGATTGTTAATTTTTGTAGGCATATTAGATTTGAAGCTGTAAACAGTGTTTTGTATCTTACAGTAAATTAAACATGTCACTTTACTGTCATCAAGTAATAAACATCAGTCCTGACTGTTCTTACCGAGATTGTCGTCTCTTGCCTTGTCCACCTAGTTGATGTGCGCAAAAACTTTGATTCAATCCACTGCTGCTGTTGAGTCATGGCTTTCAGCACGTGAGATGCAGAGGACCGTTGCATGCTGTAGATATCATCGCATTCATAATGCCGTACAGTGTCAAACTGAATGTGGCATTTTATTTGTTGGACATATCCTTTGTTGAAGTCTGAAGGTTTTGTGATCGTAGTGCATTATAATATTTAAAGTTGTTCTTTTGGATTTGTCCATCGTTTAAAGTTATAAAATAATTTTTCACAGTTTGGTTTCTGCTTCCATCTTCAGGAAGCTAACCTCAAACCTGAACCAGGTCTGAGACTACCTCAACCAAGGGGCCCACTGATAGGCTTTCTGTCGTCTTTCCCTTCTTTTTGTGTGAAGATGGAAGCAGAATTATTTTTATAATTTAAGATGATGGACGCTGTCCAGAAGAAACTTTTTACATTACCTTTTGTACAAGATATTTTATAACATTTCTGTAGTTAGCTGTACTCTCATTTTTCTGTGATTGGTTGTCATTCTTGACATATTTTATAAACCTAATAGACTTCTAGTAACTGGAAACATTCAAGCTTCGTTTACGTCATGTATCGATATCTCAACCTATTAAGCTTCAGGAACTCGGCAGTCGTACACATATTTTTGTTCCCTAAACACCCAATCCCTGATAGCAAGCCCTGAGCTAATCCTGCAATTATCAAGTGTTTTAATTGCAAACTGTCAGACAGAATATAATTTTTCCAAGAACAATAGGCCCTTTTAAAATTCCTATCAGCACATGCCCAAAATATTGTGGTGTACTGACCTACATTGAAGCTGAATCCCCGCCTCATGCCACTACCATATACTGCAGCTCCAGTGTCTTAATTTTTTTGTCTTGGACTCATCTGCCCCTTTCTCATTCACTTCTATCAGGTAACCTGACTGAATGATTATGAATCTGTATCCCAGTGTTATTATATCATATTCCAAGCTTTGCTCACGTGCCCATACCACAATGATTTGGGTTTTCACATATTTAATATTTGTGGTTTTGTCAGCACACACTACACCTTCTTCACTGCAAAGTGTTTCTTGTGCTTTGGCTCCAGATAGGACAACTGGGATGATGCTGAGTTTTTCAATTTCCTTAGTTTTATGCGCTTTTTTGGACAATTTCCATCATTTTTTGATTTTTTTAAGAATTTTAAAAAAATTGATTTTTTTTAAATTCTCCCCATCCGATCCCTGCCACAACCAGTCTCCGCATGATCTGGACTCTGACGTTCCGTCTCTGCAAAGAACGTGTCGAGCAGAGACCGGGTGACGCCGAAACCTGGTTCGGAGAGACCGGTTCTGCAAGACATCAGATGGGGAAAATTTTGACGGAAATTTTGAAAAATTTTCGAAAAATCAAAAATGCTGTATATTGTCAAAAAAGCGCATAAAACAAAAAAAATTGAGAAATTTAACATCCAAAAAAAAATCAAAAAGTTTTGATTTAGTGTGCATTTCAGACAATTTCCAGCATTTTCTGATTTTTCGAAAATTTTCAAATTTTTCAAAACTATCTCAAAGACATGTATGCCAGCCTCGGTGAATGCCTCATCCTGCCTCTGCCGGACTCGGCCTCTATCTCAACCCGTTGCTGACTGCCTCGGTGTCTGCACCAACCGGCCTCTGCACGATTCGATGTGTGGCCGACCGTCTTCCTGACGTCTGTCTCGGGGTCCGCCTTGCGTGGTGTTTGCAGCACCTCGGCTTTTCAGAGAGCGTGTCAAGCACTGACCGTGTTCGTCAGCGTCACAGTACATCAGAAACAGTACGACAGACCGGTTCTGCAAGGCATTAGATGGGGAGAATTTTAGAATAAATTTTGAAAAATTATCAAAATTTTCGAAAAATCAAAAATGCTGGAAATTGTCTAAAAAGCGCACAAAACAAAAAAATTGAAAAATCACACATCCAAGAAAATTTTCAAATTTTTTGGTTTAATGTGCATTTCTGACAATTTCCAGCATTTTTTGATTTTTCTAAAATTTTGAAAATTTTCAACTTCTTTCAAAACTCTCCCCAAGACATGTATGCCAGCCTCGGTGAATGCCTCATCCTGCCTCTGCCGGACTCGGCCTCTATCTCAACCCGTTTCTGACTGCCTCGGTGACTGCACCAACCGGCCTCTGCACGACTCGGTGTGTGGCCGACCGTGTTCCTGTCCGTCTCGGTCTCTGCCTTGGTGTTTGCCGCACCTCGGCTTTTCAGAGGCGGCACGTCAGAGAGCGTGTCAGGCACAGACCGCGTTCTTCAGAGACACAGTACATCAGAAACAGTACGACAGAGACCGGTTCTGCAAGGTATCAGATGGGGAGAATTTTGGAAGAAATTTTAAAAAATTATCAACTTTTTCGAAAAATCAAAAAATGCTGGAAATTGTCTAAAAAGCGCACAAAACAAAAAAATTGAAAAACTTAAAATCCAAAATTTTTTCAAAAATTTAATTTTTTTTTATTTAATGTGTATTTCTGACAATTTCCAGCATTTTTTTGATTTTTCGAAAATTTTCAACTTCGAAAACTTTCCCCAAGATATGTATGTCAGACTCGGTGAATGCCTCATCCTGTCTCTGCCGGACTCGCCCTCTATCCCAACCCGTTGCTGACTGCCTCGGTGTCTGCACCAACCGGCCTCTGCACGACTCGGTGTGTCGCCGACTGTGTTCCTGTCCGTCTCGGTCAATGCCTTACGTGGTGTTTGCCGCACCTCGGCTTTTCAGAGACGGCGCGTCAGAGAGCGTGTCAGGCACAGACCGCGTTCTTCAGGGTCACAGTACATCAGAAACAGTACGACAGAGACCGGTTCTGCAAGGCATCAGGGAGAATTTTGACAGAAATTTTGAAAAATTATCAAAATTTTCGAAAAATCAATAAATGCTGGGAATTGTCTGAAATGCACACAAAACCAAAAAAATTAAAATTTTTGAAAAAAATTTGGATGTGTAATTTTTCTGTTTTCTGGGCTCTTTAGACAATACCCAGCATTTTTTGATATTTTCGAAAATTTGGTAATTTTTCAAAATTTGTCAAAATTCTCCCCATCTCATTTTTAAAAATTTTCAAAACCTTCTCTACGCGAAGTCTAACAGAACGAGTCACTCACACACTCTGTCTTTGTCGGACTCAAGTATGCAAACCCAGTCTCCGCTGGACACTGCCTCTTCGACCGGTCTCATTACGATTCAGTGTCTGCAACACCGAGACTACTAGACACGATCTCTGCATCACACGTTTTGTGCTTCTCTTTTTTCAGTGGACTCAGATTCTGCAACACCCAGTCTCCCCTAGACTACCTCTACTTTGACCCGTCTCTTTAGGATTCAGTCTCTGTAATACAAGAGTCTGCTAGCCTCGGTCTCTGCTTGTCTCCTCTACTGGACTCAGCCTCTGCAACACCCAGTCTCCTCTAGACACTGCCTCTGCTTTGACCCGGCTCTTCAGGAGGGCGGTCAGATACTAGGTTCTGAAAGGATGAACGGTACGTGGTGTCGATGTTGACGGGGTGGTGATCTGAGCTGAGTGCAGAGCAGTCAGGTACACTGGTAGGACGAAGTCCTTGACGACTGCAATGTCAAAGACATCGGGGGCTCCATTGTGTGTGTACGGAGCCATGGTTGGGGAGTCCCGCCCGTAGATCAAGCAGGGGTTTCTCTTAACATAATCCCGCAGGAGCGACTCCCTCCCAGAAATCATCCTAGAATTCCAGTCCGTGTGTTAAGGTAACCAGCCACCAGGACCGGGATACCCCAGCTCAGGCACTCGGTGGGGTCCGACTCGGCCCAGGGCCGCGTGCGGGAGAGGTATGCCGCCACGAGCTTCACTGCACTGGTCGCCATCACTAGGTGAATGGCAGTGGCCTCCAGGTGTTGCAGACCCGAGACTGGCACAGGGTAATTATCTATGCCTCCGCGGGCAAGGATCGCCGTGCCTCCCCCGGCGACGGTAAACATAGTTCGCGAAACTTAGGGCTCAACCCGACGTGAGGTGCGTCTCGTTCATGAGGCTAACATCGAGGACCTGTTCCAGCTCCAACTTCCTGCCGCGAACACCATC